AAAATGTCTGATCTGTTCGTTGGTTGCTAGGTCGTCAATCTCCCCACCCTCTACCACATGATTGGTGGGGGGAGATCCGCGATCCTCCCCCAATCTTTTTTTTTTTTTTTTAAATGCAGAAAATGTCTGATATGTTCGTTGGGTGCTAGGTCGTCAATCTCCCCACCGTGTACCACATGATTGGTGGGGGGAGATTCGCGATTCTCCCCCAATCTTTTTTTTTTTGTTGAAAAATGCAGAAACTAGGTCGTCAATCTCCCCACCCTGTACCACATGATTGGTGGGGGGACATTCGCGAATCTCCCCCAATCTTTTTTTGTTCGAAAAACGGCGAAAATGGTTCAAAATTCTTGCATTTGGTAGAAAGGTTGGTAAATCGTCACTCTTCCCACCCTATACCACATGATAGGTGGGGAATGTAGGTGGGGGGGGAGATTCGCGGATCTCCCCCCACCTTTTGTTTTTTGAAAAATGCAAAAAATGTCTGATCTGTTCGTTGGTTGCTAGGTTGTCAATCTCCCCACCCTGTACCACATGATTGGTGGGGGGAGATTCGCGAATCTCCCCCCACCTTTTTTTTTTATTTATATAATGCCGAAAATGTCTGATCTGTTCGTTGGTTGCTAGGTCGTCAATCTCCCCACCCTGTACCGCATGATTGGTGGGGGGAGATCCGCGAATCTCCTCCCATCTTCTTTTGTTCCGAAAATGGCGAAAATGGTAAAAAAATCTTGCATTTAGTAGAAAGGTTGGTAAATCGTCACTCTTCCCACCCTATACCACATGATAGGTGGGGAAAGCAGGTAGGGGGGGAGATTCGCGAATCTCCCCCCACCTTTTTTTTTTTTTTTTAAATGTAGAAAATGTCTGATCTGTTCGTTGGTTGCCAGGTCGTCAATCTGTTTGTCTGATGTGAAGAGGGGGTACGACCATCGGGTTGGGGATGTGGGGAGAGAAGGAGGGGGGGGGGGGGGGTTGGAGGTGAGTGTGCGGCGTTTTCCGAAACGCCGCACCACGTCGACCCTGTTCACATACAGGGCCGAAGGGGGTACGGCATTTTGGAAACGCCGTATCCCCTCCGGTTCTCGGTGGGGGTGGGAGCGGGGGTACAGCGTTCTCGAAACGCCGTACCCCCGCTCCCACCCCCACCCGGCAACCGAAGGGGGTACGTCGTTTTCAAAACGCCGTACCCCATCGGCCCTGTATGTGAACAGGGCGGAGGGGGTACAGCGTTTCGAAAACGCCGTACCCCCTCCGGTTCATGGTGGGGGGGCGGGAGCGTGGGGAAGGCGTTTTCGAAACGCCGTTCCCCCGCTACTTTTGCCTACCGGCAACCAAAGGAGGTACAGCGTTTTGGAAACACCGTACCCCCTCGACCCTGTTGACGTACAGGGCCGACGGGGTACGGCGTTTTGAAAACGCCGTACCTTCTTCGGTTGCCGACTGGGGGTAGGAGAGGGGATGCGGCGTTCTCGAAACGCCGTACCGCCGGTCGCACCCCCGCCCGGCAACCGAAGGGGGTACGGAGTTTTCAAAACGCCGTACCCCGTCGGCCCTGTACGTCAACAGGGTCGAGAGGGTACGGCGTTTACAAAACGCCGCACCTCCTCCGGTTCTTGGTGGGGGTGGGAGAGGGGGTGCGACGTTCTCGAAACGCCGTAGCCTCGCTCCCACCCTAACCTAGCAACCAAAGGGGGTGCGGCGTTTTCAAAACGTCGTGCCACATCGGGCCTGTATGTGAACAGGGTCGAGGGGGTACGACGTTTCGAAAACGCTGTACCCCCTCCGGTTCTCGCTGGGGGGTGGGAGCGGGGGTACGACGTTCTCGAAACGTCGTACCTCCACTCCTTTGGCCTCCTGGCACCCGAAGGGGGTACGGCGCTTTGGAAACGCCATACCCAATCCGCCCTGTTTGTGAACAGGGTCGATGGGGTATGGCATTTCGACGGGTGCGGCGTTTCGAGATCGCTGTACCACCCCTCCCTCTCAAGATGGCCGTTTCCCAGAACGTCGTAGCCCGGCCCCGTAGGTGGACACGGTTGACGGGTGCGGCGTTTCAAGATCGCTGTACCACCCCTCCCTCTCGTCTCCGATGGTCGGAGGGAGTACGTCGTTTTCGAAACGCCGTGCCACCTCGCCCTTGCTTCGCAGAACCGGACGGGGTACGACGTTTTTAGAATGCCCTGTGCCATGCGATGCTGGGCTGCGTCGGCGACTCACGTGAGGCGATGGTGGAAGGCTTGGAATCTGAATGCGATCCATTCCTTCGTTTGGAATGTGCCTACCATCAGGAGGAGCATCTGCTGTCCCAGAAAAGAGAATCTACAACATATGCACAACCTATAGAGATAGGGAGTGGACCCTTGATTGGGTGAGGGGACTACACGAGGCGGGATGTGGGGCCGATGTGTTTCTGAAGAACGCCTCGGGTGACGACTGGTTCTGTGTTGGAGGGATTGTTAAATCCGAGGATGAGAGGGTGGACGGGCACGGACGGAAGTTCAGAAGGTTTTTCCTCACAACGGTGTTCAAAGACCAAGGAGTGGATCATGGGAAGGCCGACCGTAAAGTCAGCCTTGATTACAATCTGTTCAAGGGGTATGGCGGTAAGGCTATTACCATGAAAGCCTTCGATGTGTCCCCGAAAGAAGACAGGAGTGTGTTGACGATGCTTGGCCCCGTTAAATTCCTTGCCAAGACGAACGGCTACAGGAGATCTGGAAACAGTCCCATGGTTGAGGCCGGCTATCGTATGTCCCCGTCATTCGTGCCTTTTGACACGCCGGACGAGGATCTTCTCAGTATAGCAATGAGAGATAGACAAAGGACGCCACATAGTTTTCCAACGCAGCAGACGTCAGCAAGTGGGGGCTGGCGCCGCAACAAACAGAGCCAGCCGCGTCGTCCACCAGGCGAGGATGAGCATGGTCCTCCTGTGGGTTCGTTCCGCCGGATGGAGTGTGCTGGACCGTCTCAACCGTCCTGCCGGCAAGACCAAGACACCCCTGTCATCACATACAAAAGGAAGGCCCTGGCAACTCGTCCCTCTCCGAGTTGCCAGAAGAACGAAGGTGGTGCGTCCAGGAAGGCGGCGCTGCGGAAGATAAGCGAAGGATCGGATGAGGAAACAGAGGACGCTTCTAGGATGTGTGTTGATCGACATCCACAGGGTAATCATGCTGTCGACGATGTCGAATGTGGTGTCGAAGAGGATGACGTCGAAGAGGAGAACAGCGACAGGGAGAGAGAGAGAGAGGATCATGAGGAAACTATGCACGACTGCGAGGGTGGGGAGTCCCAACAATACTATGAGGAGGACGACGGGGGCGATCGAGAAAACGATCATGCCTATCCTGTAGGTGGTGACGATGGACAACAAGAGCAGTCGACTGATGTGGGGGTCGACGACGCAACAGGAGAGCGGTCGGAGGCCAGTGTCCAGAAAAGGAAGCGACAATCTTCAACAAGTCCAACGGTGCCGACGGATAAGCGAGCTGCGAAGAAACTCACTGTCGCTGCATCTTGACAGACGCTCAAAGCTTCTCAAGAGGCGGACGCTCAAAGCGTGAAGAAACGAAAAGGGTCCGCGTCAACAAGGGCGACAAAAGCGGAGAAACGCCCCCTGAAAGGAAAGCAGATGGTGGATGAGGGTGACTCTAGAGAGGACGCCGAAGGGGTTCCTCCAAGAGATGTGTCGGAACAGACAAAACCTTCCGCCGACACCCGTGATGAAGCCATCAACACAACACAGTGCTTCTTCTTGGAGTTCGATGAAGATGGGTTTGCAAAGAAGAAAAGGGAACCCATTGAAGTGGACGTCACGAAGATCTTGCCAATCCCTGAAGGTGACATCCTCTTCAACCATAGAACATTGGACGAAACGTTGGTGCAGCCCATATATGATGCGATCCATCATGCGGCGAAGGAAACCAACGGGAAGTGGGATTTCATGACTTTCATCCTGGCTCCCATTGTGCCCAACAGGGACGGGTCTCAAGGCAGACGGATCACATCGGAGCAATTCGACATCGAACTGGCTCATACATACAACTGGTATGCTGTCGCTGGCCAACACACGGCTGAGGCAATGAACAGACTCATTAAATACAAGTCACCGGCCTAGAAAGTGTATGGCTTGAGGTCATACTCTCACCTACGTGTTGTCTACTTTGACGATGACAGAAAGAGAGGATATCCGTACGTCTCGACGTTCGACAACACGAGGGAGGAGCATTCGATATCGAGATCGTTTTCGTCATCTGTGCGCCAAATCAAAACATTTTGGGAAAAGAGGAATGGTCGGATCCGTCCGCCAGGGACTGTGTCCCCGAATGACGTCGAGGGGATGAAACGGAAAAAGAAATGGGAAGAGTTCATGAACGCCGCCTACAAAATGACACCTGATTCCGGTCTCATTAACTCGTCCCTGGAGAACGACTACTTCAAGGATTGGACAAACAAGATGCGCAAATACATGAATCTTGCGCAATGCGGCAAAACAGTGTGGCCACTAGTAGAGAAATTTTTCGACATGTACGAGAAGGGGCTATTGCCGTGAGTCGACGGTATGAGATACATCGACCTGCCGGGGAAAGTGGAAGGGAGGCTGCCTGGGCAATACTTCCTCAAGGACAACTCCGGAAAAAAAGTCTTGTTCCACTGCTTAAAGGTCAGGAAGGGGCCACCAGGCGCAACGGTGTCTATACCTGACTTGACGCCGACAATCTTCAAGTTGTTCGGCGATATGACAGCGAGAGAGAAGCAAGTGGCGCTTCACCACATGATGCATGGTGATCTCATCGTGACATCACGTTCGGTACCTTGTGGTAGATGCAACATGGCGGACCTGGTTAAATATCCTCGGCGTGAAAGATATATGGTCCGTATGTTCAACTACATATTGTTCAAGGCCGAGGGGAGGTCAAAAGAAGAGTGGAGCGCTGACTTTTTCATCGGTTATACGACCATCTCGGAGAGGTACAGCAAAAACGGCCTGACGGACGAGAAATGTGACCGAGGAACGCGACCTCATCCTAGACGACAAGGCGAGGAAGGTGCCAAGGCGTTTGGGCGGTCCTGATGAGATTAATGGTGAGAACGGTGTGGGACTGGAGGCAACCCAAGGCATGTACAAGGAAACCCCATTCCACCTCAAGTGTTTCATCTACGAGACAATCGACTGCTTGGACGACCTGAGAGCGGAGGTTAATCGGATCCTCCAGTGCTTGTCACATATTTTGGGAAGTGGGGAAGAGGATTACCACGATCCTGCCATTTGAAATCGAACTGAAGGGAGTGCTCACCGACAATGAGGAGGTTGTTGGTACGGCGAGGGGGATGAAGATACGGGCAACCATTCTTGATATGTCAACATCACCGAAATGTGTTCTGTGGGATGATGACGCCTTTTCCAAACTGTACGCTTTCCTCATGACATGCTGTGGCGAAAACTGGGCCTTGATCATTTTCGCGCCGATGAAACACCGGAAACAGGTGATGCAGAGTGTGTAGACCTGGGATGATGTTGAGGTGCTCACAGGGTCATGGTACAGACACTATACACCTTCGACAACCTTGAACAAGTACGGCAACATTGCAGTTCTGTACACTGACATGATGGCTATTGTCCTCCACGCCGAGAACGACAATTTGGACAATATAATGGTTGTGCCGAAATTGCGAGTCGAGTTTATAAATTTGAACGTTGAAGAGGGTGAATTTGTGAAGTGCTCAGGGGAGTGTATCGGCGTGCAGGGCGACACCGACGCGATTTATTATTGGATGGAACGAGAGCCAGCACGTCTCCGAAAACTGTGCAGCTCGTTCATCAGGGAGGACGATGGCGTGATGCTGTTGGGCAGGGCGCATGCGAGACTGATTTGGGAACTCGCTCGCGCCGGACACCACGTGTTTCCGTGTGAAGACACGACAAAAGAGCTCACATACCTTTCCAAGTTTTTGGAGTTTTATGTGAAGGATCCGAGGAACAAATGCAGGTTCGAAAAGCCCCAAGTCGAGCACCGCAAGGACCGGGACATTTACTATAAGCTCGGCAGGAAGAGGGAGAAAGTGTGGGCTTACTTGTTCGGTGACGCTCCACGGTCGGCGGTTGATAACGACTACGTCATCAGAAAAAGTGAACTCGAGATAGCAATGAACGAGCACCACGGATCGCACATGGGTGTTTTCCACATGTTCGTCGCACGTTGTGAGCATCTGTATTTCAATATGAAGAAAAAAACACTGTCATGCAGGGACTATGTGGACTTGGCACGTAAAGCGGGGAACTTCAATAACATCGATTGTGAGGAAGACACGTCAGACTCCGACCTGGACATTCCGTCGCGCGCGACACGACGTTCGGCGCAGGGAGCACGTGCCGAGGAGCCGAAAATGAGCACCAACGCAGATGAGGAGAAGGCGAGGTCGAGGTGGGGAGCGACACATACTAGTGAGGGAGACGTGGAACATAGAATGAATGCAAGGGGAGAAAAGAATGGTGTACCAACGAACCAGGTGGGTGCGAGTGTGGGAATTGTTAACTCACGGGGCAACACAGGGGGAGGAGAGAATGGGTGTGAAATGACCCCGCCGACAGCTGGACCATCATCGACACATGCACCGCAGGCCGAGCAGCGAACGCTCACGTCGATGGACATAGATGAAGATGAAGACTTGAATATGACAGCAGTCATGCCGAAGCTCGTGCCAGGAAAACCGTTACCTCAAGGCTTTGCTCAAGATCCTTCAGTGCCATACTTGCTGCAAGACAAGTACAAGGAGTCATCGGAGGAGGACTAGGGTCATCATATTCTCTGGCATGAGGGCGTGTTCGAACCGTGCGTGTTTGCGGGCAAGTGGCAAATGGTTGTGAAGACAAAAGACCGCGGGTGGGTCGCGAAGGAAAGAAAGGACGCTGCGATATGGCACAACGTGACGGAGACGCAACTTTTTCGGCGGGTTGCATAAGAAAATGTCGGTGCAACCGAGGTGGCTGTAGCGGCAAAGGCGAAAGCTTTGTTTGAGCATCTGCGTGCGAACAAACAACTAGAATTCAGCACAAAGTTCTACGACCTTGCATCAAGTGTGTCGTACGGCTCAATCGATTGGAAAATCAAACAAGCGTCAGCAGTGCAAGGAATCGATAGCATCACCTCTCTGAAGACTCAAGACTTCATCGCGTCTAACACCATCGTTGCGATGACCAGAGGGGATGGAGGCTGCGAAACGGACACACGTGCGAACGCAGGTCACATACAGAATGAACAGTTGCGAGCATGTATTCAACAAAGCACACAGAGAAGCGCCATGGGGGATTCCACTATGATACGCAAGGACGGCGACGACATGGAGTCGGGCACATTGACAGAGCCGCCAACGCGCGGGGTCAACGATGGGGCAACAATTGTTGGATCTTTCGGGTCTCTTGTCGTGATAATGGCGGTGAGGCAAGGCGTATCTGTAATGATGGAGACCGATGCGGGCAAGGATGGTGAAAGTCAGACCGTGAAGGTGGCGCCAGAGCAGGTGGCGGCAACAACAGAGGAGACGAAGAAAGGTGAGGGACCTCGTGAACACATTTCCATAATAGATATGAGATCAGAGAGTACGGACGAGGATATGATCCAAGATAACGACCAGAAAGATGACCACGCTGCACCACACGTGGAAGGTGACGACGAAGAGGACGCGCAACGACCAAGACGGTCAACGAGAGCAATAATTAAGAAAATTGTGTTTGATGCGTAGGAAAGCCTTAGACGGGCATGGGCGTTTACACGTTTCAGGTTATATTGATGTGGCGCCACAAATCATGATGCGATATTCATCCGGTCCTCACATGGGGTGTCTACGCATTTCTTGTTAAATTGATAGGTTGCCGCTGGGTACTATGTTAGAAAACTATGTTAGACAGGAATGGGTGTAAACACGTTTTGGGTTATATTGTTGTCTTAATGGAAGTGTAATTGTGACACTGCAATTCTCGAAATGGCACTGTCTCGATACGTAGGTTCCCCATCTCGATACGTAGGGGTGTGTGTGTGTGTGTGTGTGTGTGTGTGTGTGTGTGTGTGTGTGTGTGTGTGTGTGTGTGTGTGTGTGTGTGTGTGTGTGTGTGTTGTGAAGAAACAGAAAGCCCCTACAACATACTTAGCGCAGCAAACCAAGAGCCATTCCAACCCAAGAGGACCCTCGCAACCCTGTCATTTCACATTCACGAAATAAATTACCCAGGGTTGTATAGAACTCAATCATCCGATATTTTATTTAACCCATTCATGCATCCCGTGCCATTGGTGAGAGAACTAGATATGTAACAGCCAAAATGGGTGGTAGGATTTTAATGCAATTAAAGCATACTTGCAGTGTTGTACGAATTTGTATAACCATACCAATACTTAGTTCAATAAGTTGAAGATGCCATAACACAACAAGCCAAATTATCTGCCCGATGGACAGGTATGAGCAGGGAGTTATAGATTATCTATTACCCATGACTACAGCCAATCCGAATATCTTGCAGACGAGTACTATTTATTTCTCGTCGCCTTTTAGGCGGTTGCCTGGTAGCAATATCCTTGTCACCCGGACATATTTGTATACATCGTCAACTCCATTTTCCAGGAATCTCATTAATCTTATCAGAGCCCACTCTTTGAAAAATTTCGAGTAATATATCTGGTGTCAACTTATTTCCCATACCAAAGAGCGAGCTAGGCATATAAAAGAAGCAAACACGTAGAACGGTTCATATCCGCAAGGATGGTTATCCATATTATCAAACATTCAAGCTTTTTCCCACTTTTCCATAGCGATTACCACCCATTTACAAATTAACGACGAGCAAATATATAACGAAGAATCAAAGCGAAGGGGGGAAGGAACGGGACACAATGCAAACATCCTCAAATACCAAAGCGCGTGCTCAAGCTTATCCGAGTTCATCCTGGCGGTGTCCTGAACTTATGCTCCCCTTAAACCAGCCTTAGGCGAAAACCACCGTTTCAACCACAAAGAAAGCAAAAACATGGTTGGTCACTCCGCGCACCTTCACGGACTGAATGAACCCATACTTATTGTACACAGTCGGACTTCACGCAAATTCCCCACCTCCTAACACCATTATTAGCAACCGTTTGTGCGGATATGATCAAACTAACCGCCAAACGTAAAACTCATAGAACAGCACCATTTACACATCATGACACACTCATCCAAGCAATATCCTCCCCTCCATGTACTGTGCAATCGATCGTTTTGATGACCCTTATGCGCCACAAAAGCCTGAAAATCGACAGTCAATACTACTCCCTCTGCATCATCCATTGGAAACAGAAGTTAACTACATTTTCAACGGCGCAGACCTGGTTGATAATCGTGGCGTTTCCGCCCATACCTACAGTAAACATGCCAGGAGGAACCATGCTACCTTAACAAGGCGATACCCAATTACACCCCCCTGCTCGCCGATGTGGCATACAGAGGCCGGAACCTCATCATAATCCTCTCAGTCCATGCTTCCGTTCGTACACCCAAGCTCCACCCCCTCCTTTTTGGTCGTATAAGGGCCCTCAGCCCCTTCCTTCATTCCATCACCCACCTTTCCCTACACCATTTTTTTCCAAACGCGCCGCCAAGCATTTACCACTCATCGTGTTGCCTACTCTCTCGCTTGCTTCCTAACCACCAGCAGAACCGAACTAGCGATCCATCCCCGCCAATCATCACATCAGAATTCACAGACCGCCTATTATGGCACGTCCCCCTTATTCACGCCTCCATTGTCCTCACCTGTATGAGATACTCGCACCTCCGCGGCTCTTTTCAACACCCAACCACATCACTTCGCATTTATTAGGTCAATCGTCGGGCCCCTCAGCACTGCTAACTATTGCGTTGCCCCCCTCCTGTAGGACTCGTGTATACTAGAATAAACATCGAAGACCTGGACCAGCGATATAGGACCACTACACCAATCACCACCCTCATCGTGATAAATGCACAACACATTTGGACCAGTAGATCGCTTTCATAGCACATTCCCCTCCCCCCGGACCATCCCCCCGTCTACATCCCGAGCATCGCCATGACCATTGCAGCTACGTACGTCTCCATCCATATCAGAACCAGGAGAAGACAAACCACTCTGTCCATCATTTTATTCCTTTCGGCAGAACCTTTGGTGCGTAGCAAATCCGGATGAGTTGCCGCTGGTATACCCGACTCTGCAATCACGCGCTCTTATTGCAGAAAATTCCATAAACGCGAAGAAGGCAAGTAACGCTAAGAAGATCGCAAAGATCGAAACTATAGCAACAGCCACATACGCAGACTCCATTCGGAACACTTCTCCCTTGCTTTTTGATCAAGGATTACTGCACACGTACCAATTCCTACATCAACACTCATATGAACACAGTCATAACATAACAAAATACAAATAAAAGAACAAAACACAAATGGAAACATCCAAGTGAGGTTAGGTAATACCATGCACTGGGGAAAGAACGAACATGACGTGTTACAGAGATCCCAATTCAACTTAATGACCCCATTGTGTCGACGAAACAGTAGGGTAAGTAGTAGGAAGTCCCAAAAGCTTTTTCGCCAATCCCTACTATGATTGGCTCATCAGGGGGTATATTACCCTTAGTTTATCGTGTTCAAAGGGATAAGGCTTTCTTTTAAGCCTAAGAGAGGTATGATAGGTACTGGGAGAGAAGGGGTGGGGAATATGAAATCATTACCACACAAGCTGGCGCCGCTGGTTCCCCCATCTCCAATATCATGCTAGTAAGATCAACCTATATACCGGAATCAACAGAGGACCGCTTGCATCGGCGTAGGTAGCTCTTACACGCAACAGAAAGCACCGCTAAGGCGGGAGAGTTCACAGGGAGAGAGGAGAAGAAGCGTGATGCGATGGGCGGAGCTCAGTTAGGGAGCGACGAATGACACAAGCCTCCCTTGCCTTAGGTACCATGGCGCATAGCCGCGTGCCACTCGGCCCGTCCTCGTCCGACGAAACTAGAGAATACGCAGCCGAGGAGAGCCCGTCGATTGAGGGAGAAACTCATCGGGCTGCTTGTTTAAATAGGACTAGTCCAAACCTCAAACACCAATAGCGCCACCCCGAAATGAATTCCTAAGGGACCTTATCCCTCGTATGCCAAATTTTTTGTTCCCTCGGGGAGGATGTGATACTGGCCAGTGGCTTTTTACCACCTATACCAGGCCAACGAAATTATCACCCTGCTGTGAAAAACCCTTTTGAAGGTACCATTATTTAACAATCTATTTTTCGTGTCCCTAAAATTGCCCATATATCCTTCCTTTCCTGGGGGGGGGGTATTTTTAAGAAAATTATGTATTTTTTATATATATATATGGATCCATAAGTATGTGTGTGTGTGTGTGTGTGTGTGTGTGTGACTAGCAGAGATGGACTCGTAAGCAGCGTTGGGTTCTGCGTGTGGATTAAATTGTGTGCGCGTGCTTGGTACAGTTTTATAATAAAGGCATATGAAAACACACTATATGGGGCACTCTGCCTGCCATGTGTCAAGGACGCCTCTAATTTCAGAGAACTTGTTATGCCATCTTGTAGCACGCTGCGAATGGTCGTCTTAACCTAAATCCCCACGAACTTGAAAAAAAAAAATCATGATAATGAAATGGAAAAAAGAAAACCCATGAAAATATGTGAAACAACAAGGCTGCAGTAGTGAAGTTATAATCAAAATATTGCCAAGAGTAGTGAACATGAACATCAGAGAACAGATGGAAGCAGGGTTACCGTTAAACACCATAGATCGCGATAAGTATCATTGATCGATTTGCTTTAAAAAAATATACGAAAATTGGAAAAAATTATAGTTGTGTTATGCGGCATATTACAAGGAAGATGGAGGCCGAGGTATTCATGTCAACTTGCTATAGTATCTTGTTGCCAGGATTTAGCAATTGAAATTTCCTCCGTCGTTTCCATCATGCAAATATGGCAGGCCCCAATAACGATAACTTACGCTGGCGCATAATGCATTGTCATGTGCAGAAA